AACTGAGGCTTCTCCAGCAGCAAAGTGGATGCTCACAGGTCAAAGCCTGAAGCACTGCCCTGGTCCCTRCAGCCAAACAATTGCCTTACCACAAGTTTCTCCTTTTCTGATGTTTATGACTCTGCTGTTATTAACATCTACCCGTAAACAAAAGCATTTACGGAAGGGGGAGAAAGGGTATCACAGACCAGTGCTTGAAATAATTTCTCTGTGCTTCTTGCTCTGATTTAATGCATTGTGCTCTCCACTGCTGACCATTTTCTTACCCTTGCTCCTCCTTTCATTTCTGTTTCTCTACGTGACTGTTTATTTCTCCTCTGTTGTACAACACTGCTGATAGCTTTGGCAGATAATAAATGTCAATCTAGTCTTGGGTTTCTCCTGCTTATCATGTGTGGATGCTGGTGTTGGAGCCTATCATCTGGTTGGGGTTTCTCTGAGGATCTCTCTCCTGCCTCACCATGACAGCCACAGCCACACACAGCCACAATGGGRCTTGTGGGGCTTACTTCATTTATTCTTTTGTCACATTGTTGTGCCCTGGGACAAAAGAGAGGTGACAACRGGAGTAAGGGGACAGGCAGTGATCTGCAGAAAATGAGGATTTAGTCATCCTTAACRATGACCTCTGCTCTCAAGAACAGGAGAGACTCTCCATTTAAATTACAGCAGGAATCTCAGTCTCTGATGGTTTATCCTATGCTAAGCATGCTGATGCTCCACTTCAGTTTCCCCTTCTTGAAGATGGTGACAGCAGAGGTGCAAACCAGCCCCTCTTGCTGGGAAGTGCCTTAATCATGCCACTTCTCCTGTCTTTGTACTGGCTTTACCATTATTCTGAATAGATCTTTATTACGGGAAAATAATGGGTGGAAGAAGGTACTCAGATATAATRAAAAGACTGAGAATCTTTAAGCGTAAACTCCTTCCATGTTCTCAGACTCAGCCACAGGAGCATCCACTCACTTCTCCAAAGAGCAAGCCCCAGGGACTGGCTTGAGAAGACCTGCAGAGCCTCCCAGGGGTGCTCTGAAAGCACCTGGCAGCRCTCCTCTGTTCATGTGTGCCAGGGTGTGCACAAAGCTCCAAAGGAGCTGGGCGTTGATGGTGTCCCCGGAAATCAAAGTCATTTGTTACACTGCCCGACAGCCTCTTTAGGGTGTGACATTAGCTTGTGATTACACCTGGTGCTGCTTTCATGTTGCTAGTCCCTTTACTCCTAGGTACGCCTGTGGTTATGCTTTGTTGATGGCAGTTTCTGGGAAGAAAATCGAACCCTTGTTGGCCAATGCCCAAGCTGGGCAAAGCCAGGCCAGCTCTGCCTGCTGTCAGCTGTGCAAGGGGCTGCCTTTCCCTCCTAACCACGCACCCTCCCAGGCTCCTGGCCCGCACCCAATCCAGATAAGAAATGACTGAAATCGTTGCTGTTAGCCATCTATTCTGTGACCTGCATGAAAAGAGTGAAATGACCTCGGGACTAGTCTCGGCACACAGCCGTCTGCCCACAAACCGTGGCAGCCCAAAAGCCTCGCTACGCAGACCAAAGGCTGGCAGGACAAGTATTTTCTTGGCGGCTGCTGCTCGTGGATGGGAGGGGAGGGGAGGCAGCAGCAAGCTGATTTGTAGGAGCTCACCTTGCTGCCTGATGCCTTTAACAGGATCTTCAGGAGGTGTTAATGCAAATGTGAGTTGTTCTACACARAAACCAACCATGGGCTATTTTCTACAGGAAAAAAGAGGGTGTTTGCTGGTGATAGCTTGTGGTGGTAGGAATGGGACAGAGCCCTTTTCCCCAGACTTTTGTCTCCTRTTGCTGTCTTCTGAACGCCCCTGTGGTGCTGCCACTCTGCTGAAGCCATTCTCACTGCAAGGAGGACCAGCAGTGCCATTCTGCCATAGAGATGTTGCAGGGCACCTTCCTGCCTGCTTCCTAGGTCATCTTGTGGTGCACAAGCCTTCAAGCAGGCTGCATAGGCCTTTCCTTCAAAACTATTTTTAATAGTTTGTGAAGAAATTTGGAAGGAGCATAGCTGCAGAATTGAACTTGAGGTTGCCCATGAGGGACAATGTTATCATTTAAACACTGCCAGGAAATAATGCATGGTACTGTTTTTACCATGGGCTGGGCTCCGAGTGCTTTGGGTAACAAGAAGAGCTTCAATATGAGCATAAAAAAAATGCCGAGGAGGGGACCATGATTGGAAATTGAAGGTTCTTGCAGCCTGGGGATGGGGACAGCTAATTCTGACACCATCCTGCAACTTGTTTCTGCTTCATTAACCATGTCTGTGACTTGTGAAGTGCTGCTTAGGAAAATGGGAACCCACTGGTGGATGGAGATGTGAGAGGTTTACAGAAGTGTGCTTTGTATCTGCACTGACAAGTCAGTGACTCCTGGTGTCCTCAGACCTTTTTTGTTGTTGTTGTTTTTTATGCTTAATTCTCAGAATTCCTCAGGGTATTTTTTTCTGCCTGAATCTAACTATGTGACTCTCCCACAGCCCTGTACCTTAGGGCCGGGTTTGTGTCTTGCTGGGAGCTGGGGTTTCCRTTTTAGCACTGAGTTTCTAGTTATACATCTAAAGAGAAACGATGTGCTCATCAGAGGCATTCCCCATCGCAGCCACAAGCRTTTCGTGTAGCAGTTCAGGCAGGCACCCAGGCTTCCCGGAACCCCTCACAGCAGCTCTTGGTTGGCAGCTAACCCAGACACCGAGGGTCTCAGCAAAGGCAGCTGGCTCCTGCAGGCTGGGGAAGTACAGGTCTGCTGTTACTCCTGCTGCTGACAGTGACTCCCATGGTCAAAGGGCTTTCATCTCCAAGTTTTCAAACTGGCACTATTTTGCATAAATGGAGCAGAGAATTCTAGGTGTGAGTTTTTAGCGTCAGAAGTCTTCTCAGTGGYATCCAGGCAGTCTTCAGGAGGCTTTTGAAGATGAGTGAGCTGGGCTGAGCTTGCTGTCTCTGCAATGCCAAAGAAAATACCTTGCTCTCTTCAGCAACTTGATCTGAGAATCTGCTAATGACTTGTCACCATGATCATGGCTGGTGAAAGGAGTCCTTGTGTCCATCCTGTGTTTCTAAAACACACATAAATGCTTTTCCCTGCGCCTTCTTCTGCCTCAACTGTTAGGAGCCACTGTGGGGCTTTTTAAAGTAAATAGTACACTCCTGATTTCCTTCTAGTTTYGACTGAAACACTGACTGACAGCATTAAGGTAACTTGTGATGCTGAGTGAGCTATTTTTTTTCTCCCCATAATATTATTATTGCTTAAGTGAAAACTGCTTACAACTAATTTCTTGCCAATATAGTTATAGTTGATACTGCTTCAAAGTTGCTGCAACAGTATCTTGGGTGTTCAGATGAACGTGGTAGCAATTCTGGGAGTTACTTGACTGAGAGCCAAATATTGCTTTTGGAAATACTGAAATGATCAGTGCACCTAAGGAAAGAAAACAAACACCCTGCCAAGCAGTAGTAACATGTTTTAAACAAATGCATCCTGCCATAATGGGACACTTGTGCAGACCAGTGCAGCAGTCTCGATTTCTTAACTGCTTGGAGAAGATGAGATGATGTTGGTTTAGGCTGAGAATTATGTGGGGGTCTCTGTAAGTTTGTCTGTCTGGTTTTTTTTTGGAGGTCATCTGTGAGGATGAAGACCTTAAACCCTCACTGGGGAAAGGTACCACACATCACTCCCCCACTGCACCAGCCCTTCCTGCCTCTGCCAAGCACAGCTGATCACTTCACACCCAGGTCAGCTCACAGCTCTTGCTCCTACCCGGGGGACTGCTGAGGAGCCATAAAGGGCAAAACCTTTGCAAGCAATTTATCAAGTACTTGAATTCTCTGTGCCTTTCAAAGGGACTGTTTATTAAAGCAACTTTGATTAAGGAATAAACTTGAAGCAAAATAACTATTGCTCTTGATCGCAGGCTCCTAAATTYGACTTGCTGTTAGAGCCTTCATGCCCACATCTTGCTCTTGGGATTTTTATTTTTTTCTCTCMAAATGGAATAATTTATGTGGATCTGGATTAMAGAGCATCCACTGCAATTACTGAATCTGGAACTGCTGAGTGATACTCCTGAAAAGTYCTACCTTCCCAGTACTAAGGCAGCAGAGATTATACACGGATTCCCTGCAAAGTAGGTCAATTTTAATAACCATTTCTGCTTTGTGTTCATTCAGCATATTCTACAGGGCAGCCCATTTTGTTCCAATCAAGTCCTAACATTCACTACAGCTCTTTAAGGGAATTGTCGGTCTCTGACATAGTTTTTCATGCTGTCATCCCTGTGTTTTGTTTCACAGCAGTCTTACCTTAAAGACACAGTTTTTACCTCTRGCTCACCTCTGCTGAAGCGTGAGCCTAAAAGTAACAGACAGAGCTTATGAGTCTCTGACTACAGTTTCCAAGGAGAAATTCACATTTGCTTCTTGCTTTTAGATAAAGACTGTGTATATGCATCTCAACTTAGTGTAGGACAGAGTGGTTGGACACTGTTGGCTACATGTGTTTTTTAAAGGACTACACTGTTCTCAGAGGTGCTGCTCCCCTGAGTAAAGGCACCCCAACCTACCTCCTGAGAGCTGCTGCCAGGACAAACAAACTTCAGACACCCACTTCCTCTTTACCTTCCCGTGACTCTCCCACCACCCCGGGCAGGGCCAACGCAGCCTCCTGCAGCAGCACCTTCTGCATGTTCAGGAAAGGAGTTAMCACCACCTAACCCGCCTTGTCTCCTACACACATCTGCAGCTCCCCACTCATCATCTCTGCAGTACCTGCTCCAAGTGCTGAGTTTATAAWAATTGGATGGGGAGGGAAAAGTAAGCCTGGAGACTGTGCTATGCTGCTCCTTATTCCCTTCTGCGTATGAAACCTGGCCCTGGCCCCTCTCTGTTGTATACCTCATTACTCCCCTCTTCCACCCCTTCAGGCAACAGTTAACCCACCTTGGGCATTTCTGGCAAATATACATATCTTACAGCCTTCAAGCCATTTATAAATAGATTTTTATTTATAAAGTCAATTTACATAAAATATGATACTCTCTTAAAAACTGCATATGTACAACTTAAGAAATCCTASCAAGTGCATACAAAAATGCCTTCAATACATTTTTTTTTAAAAAAACTTCAGTTTTCAGAGAGGTGAACCTTCACACCAGGCAAACTCAGACACCACGTTAAAACACAACATAACTTTACAGTCTATTACTGAAGTGTTTGGAGAGAATAGTTAAAAAAAAAACCAAAAAACAAAAAAACAAACCAACAAACGAACACCTTTTCATCTATACCATATATGTGCCCAAAACATTCTAGCTGGTAGTGTTCAAGAACAGGTGGACAGACCTGCTAAAAATAGAACCATTTCTTCCCTTTTCTCTAAGGTTTCTTATACAAAAATAAGTCTTCATACACCAGTGTCCCCASAGGCAGTTCAAGTTACATATAAAATAGAATCTGACATGATAAAAAATTCCCTCTCCCTCCAGAAACAAGGAAGCATCAAGTGTTTTTAATTTTTTTTTTTTTTTTTTGCTTTCCACCCCTCCAAAGCAACACCACACAGCAGCGGCGGGGGGAAGCGGGTTCGCTCGGGCATCCTCTCCGTGGGTCGGCAGCTCCCGGCGGGCAGGCGGAACCTCTGCCCCGCGCAAGGAGCGSGACCCCGCAGTCAGCTACATCATTGCACTTTCCACAGCCCGAAGACGACGAGAAAAGCAGCCAGCGGGGTCCCGCCGGGGTGGAGGTCAGTACTTTGGGGGGGATGCTGCTGCCGCCGAGACGGCGGGCGCTGATGTGCTGCGGGCTGAGCGCGGCTGYGGAGAGATGTGAGGAGAGCCCCGGTGGCTTCGTGCCCCGCTCCCCCGAGCGACGGGGGCGAAGCGGCGCCCCCTCCCCTCCGGCTGCCCCCTCACCTCCTGCCGGGTCAGTAGCTCCCCAGCCAGCTGGTGAAATCCAGCAGCTCCCGCTCCTCGGGGCTGAGCGCCGCGTCGTAGCCGCTCTCCTCGGAAGAGCACGGCGAGCCGGGCGCGGAGGAGGCGAACGAGGGCGAAGCGGAGGAGTAGCCGCCGCTGCCGCCAACTTCCCCGACGGCCACCCGCCCGCGGCCATCGGGGAAAGAGGCGGCGGCGTCGTGCTCGTCGAGGAGCCGCTGCAAGGCGCGGATGTACTCGACGGCGGAGCGGAGCGTCTCCACCTTGCTCATCTTCTTGCTGGCGGCGCCGTGCGGGACGTGCTGGCGGAGGGCGGCGAARCCCAGGTTGACGAGCCGCACTCGGTTGCGCTCCCGCTCGTTCCGACGGGCCACGGCCGCCGC